GCTTTGATATTGTTGTCTTTTTTAACCTCGTCAAGTTGTCTCCTTGGAGCCACTTTCTTTCTGTCACGAACATAAAATAACATATAAGCCTTCTGATTTAAAACAGTCTTCTCGCCAACTTGGTGAACCTGTAATATCAAAGTAGCAGAAGGCTGTTACCAACCAATGAACAAATATTCAGTAGAATCACCACACAATCAATATAATTTACCTTTTCGTCATCAAGACAGTACCACATCCCAGTCGAGGTGCGAACAAAGCAGACATAATGACCAAAGCGGGTACTGCTTCCATGATGAACAAGAACACCATAAAGGCTGTACTTCAAGTTGCATTCCTGCCATGCACAAGTAATACGAGAAAATGAGGCACAATCAAATGAAAGAATAGAAAACCATGGATCGTCCACCGATACACCCTCACATACAGAGGGGAGAAATAGTAGTCAGCATTTTGTCTGCAAATGGAAAAAGAACTCACATTGGGATCACTAACAAATGGCCTAATGTCCAAGGTACGCTCGTAAGACACTTGCTTCCCAACCTTCCTTCCAGGATCATGTGCAAAAAAACGCTTCAAATGTATGCTCAACACATAGGGTGGTTTATGAATCGTGAGACGCTTCGTGGCTCTGACTTTATGCTTGCATTGTTGACATTGATAATGCTTCTCTCCACCGTCCAACAACTCAGCAGCAGTGAAGTTCCGGAGTGCTACAGGTAAAGCATCTGCTTTGTTTATTTCAAGGCTCAAGTCTAAAAATGGATCAAATTTGTCAGAGCAGTAAGAACACTGCTGGCATTGCACCTGTAATATAAATAGAGTGAGCTAGAGGCAGATACTCATAACAGCAAGCTATAGCAATACATATCTAATAGCCTATGCTTGTGGATGGTATAGAATTAAAATAATAATAATAAAATACGAGGAGATTTGTCAGAGTTGACAGAAAGAGAGCAAACTTTTTAAAAATCATGAGAAATCATATTATTTTCGAACAAATTTTTGGAGCACTTAGCAACGAAACAAACTCAAAATAATTCCAATTCATATTAGGAAAGAATATTACCCGACTACGCAGGTGACCACCAAAGATTTTGTGCACCAAACTCTTTTCATAAGCAGCAGGCGACTCGCTCTGGACTCCTGATGGTAAGCAGCACTTATGCATTGATTCCAGCAAGTTCACCAGGTATTCATGCGCGTCTTCTTGTTTAGAAACTTTAAGAGTTCGGGATACACCTAAGTAGATGGTCAAGAACTCCAAATATGAAACACGTGAAAGATGCAATCCAAAACCACATGAAACCCCTATGTAACTAGATAGTTCCGTACAATGAAAACTGGTTCTATTTCAGACACATTTAGCTAGAAACAAAAAGTACTGGCTCTGATCAATTATTTCGGTGATAATTCATCCAGATCAACCACGAAGATGAAAAGGATACATCTCATGTTCGAAACAAGATCTGGTACAAATGATATCCCGGAAGATCGTAAAGCACGGTTGACATGTTTCTGGATCGCACACAAGGCACAAAACCCAGCAATCCGGCCTGCACGAAAAATGAATCCAAAAATAAGTCTGATATCAAATATAGCCATAGCTCCATGTAAAGCACAAGGGTTACAAAAATCAAATAGCATCTGTAAAATTGTAAAAAGGGCCAAAATACTTATTCCCAACTCATCCATCATTTCATTACTAGGGGATTCAAGAGGCTTTACAAATTTCTGTTTATGGCCAATAATTCTTCAGCATATTTCTCTAGTCAAAGCACCATAATTGTCGAGATACAGAACTTATATGAACAGAGACAGACAAAGGTGTGTATTTGGTATGACCATATCAATTCCTAGTTTCAGTTCAGCTTCCCATGAAATGAAGACATGCTTATGAACATTTGGTAAAGAAAACACATTTCTTGTGGCTGGCAAGGGGAAAGCTCCTAATGTATTCTTAATAGCTGATTAACAAGGCGTGTATACATCAGTAAGAACCAAAGCAGACAGAAATGGCAAAAACTATATGCGAAAGAAGTTGAGCAAAACAGGCCAACTTACAAGAACTCTTGTGCTTGCCACTTTGTAAATACGCTGCCAAAGGTTCTGTATAAGTCAGGCATTGCAACACGGAGTTGAGGAAACAAGTATTCCCGATGTTTCGCAAACCAGCACCCTGCCAATCACCCACCAAAACTCCAGCGTCAACTTACTAAACAAGTTCATCTCTTGTGATAAAAAGAGCCTATGATTCAACTGAACAACGCCAAATCACCTAGAGTGAAGCAAATAGTGAAATAACAAGAAAAAACAAGCTGTTCCAAACAGGAAGAGAATGTCTAGACTCAATCAGCACTATATGAAGAGTTTAACGGCATTAAGCTAACTATACATTCAACATTTAGATCGGAACAGCTCACACCCACTCAAGAGGCAAGGAGAAAGATCAAAACTTGAATGCTCAAAAGTGCAGAGAGTGAAAGCCAACTCACAATCCGCTGAAATGTAATATCGAAGCTACTGATCTCGCTCTCCCACAAATCCACCGTCGTCCCGTCGCCCCTCTTGACCACCTGCCGCGACATCGTCGCCGTCAGCTCCTCCAACCTAGCCGGCCTCTTCGACGAATCAGGGTTCAGCGTCTCGATCGGGAAATCCCGGCACGTCCCCAGTCCGCTGTACTGCTTCCTCGCCGGGTGGAACTCTATCTTCCGCTGCATCATCGCTGCAGTAACAAACGAAGAAGTGGAGGCAACGGATATCTCCGCCGCCGCCATCGACGAGGACGATCCATCTTTCCCTACCGCCAAAGTCTCGCTCCTCTGCCCCGCCACTACCAAACTCTCCATTTCGCTTCCCCACGAATTCTTACCCCAATCGATCCGTTAAGTGGGCGAGAAGATGCCGGGGGAACGGCGATCCCGGCGGGGGATTTCTGTTGATTTGTTTTCCGTCGGTGGTTTTTTTGTGAGCTGAAGGAGGGGAGAAGAGGAAGGAGAAGAAGTGGCGGCCTCTCACTATTAAACCCTACCCTGCCCTAAAATCTTCTTCCCCCCAATTTCCTTTTCTTTTTGACTTTTTTTTTTCATTTTTCCAATTAAAACGACCGAATCCCTGGAAAGCGGCAGCGGTTGGCCGGTGGAGTTGCCGGCGGGTGGATGTGCGACACGTGGGAGGCGTTGCCGCGTGAAGTGAACGGTGGAGATTCATTTGGTTGTAGGACAACGGTGGATTTGTGTCCTATTGTGCGGCAGGAGGATTAGGAATATGCTTCCAACCCAGAAGAGGCAAAGCTCTTTCCTTTTCCCCTTCCATCGGTTCCTTTTCTTTTCTCCGGCAGCCCAATGGACAGCCCAAACAACCAAAACCAGCAGCTCCACGTCTTCTTCATGCCGTTCATCGCGCCGGGCCACATAATCCCCATGATCGACTTGGCCAAGCTCTTCGCTTCCAGAGGAGTGAAGAGCAGCATCATCACAACCGCTGCTTACACCGACAAAGTCTACCAATCCATCCAAAAATCTGCTTCTGAATCCCCAATCCAAGTTCTCGCCATGACCACCGCCGCCGGGACAATCACCTGGGAGCAAGCGTCCGAAGAAGCAAAGGTGGACCTCTTCTTCAACTCCGCTTCCACCTTCGCCGAGCCCCTCAAAGAATTGTTGGAACAACACCGCCCCGATTGCTTAGTGGCCGACACCTTCTTCACCTGGACCACGGAATTGGCGGCAAGTCTGCGCGTCCCTAAGGTAGTTTTTGGCGGGAAGTGCTTCTTCTCCCTGTGCGCCGAACAAAGCCTGGTCGAACACTACCCCCACAATACAGTCTCTTCCGACGACGACGCTTTCGTCATCCCGAATCTCCCCGGGGACGGAATCGAATTCACCAGGGGCCAAATCTCGGAGGCCTGGAAGTCTGAAAGCGTATTCACCCATTTCTTCAAAAAGTGCCTCGATTCGGAGAGGGATTCATACGGCGTTCTCGTCAACAGTTTCTACGAATTGGAACCTCTCTACGCCGACCACTACAGATCAGCCGTCGCGAAACGGGCCTGGCACGTCGGCCCCGTTTCTCTTTTCGCCGGCGGCGCGGAGGAGAAAGAGAGCAGAGGGATGGTGACAGTGACGGAAGCTGCTGCAGTTGACCGTCACGAATGCTTGAAATGGCTGGATTCGAAGAAACCCAATTCGGTAATTTACCTCTGTTTCGGCTCTGATGCAGAGTTCACGGCAGCGCAGAATTCGGAGCTGGCGGCGGGGCTGGAAGGCTCTGGACAGGGGTTTGTTTGGGTGGTGAAGAGAAGGGAAGATCTGCCGGATGGATTTGAGGAGAGAGTTGAAGGGCAAGGATTGGTAATTGAAGGGTGGGCGCCGCAGCTGCTGATTTTAGGGCACGCGGCGGTGGGTGGATTCGTGACCCACTGCGGCTGGAACTCTGTTGTGGAAGCGATTGCTGCGGGGGTTCCGATGGTGACGTGGCCGCTGGCGGCGGAGCAATTCTTCAACGAGAAGCTGGTAAGCAAGGTATTGAGGGTGGGAGTGGAAGTCGGAGCTCGACGGTGGGTTAGGCTGGTCGGGGATTTTGTGAGGAAGGAAGCGGTGGAGAAAGCAGTGAGGGAAGTTATGGTGGGAGAAAGAGCAGAGGAAATGAGAAGCATGACAAGGAAGCTTGGAGGAATGGCGAGGAGTGCTCTTGAGGAAGGTGGGTCTTCGCTTGGTGATTTGAGTTGTTTTATTGAAGAATTCACACTAGTAAGAAGAAGGCTTAATCCTTGAAATCAAACTATGGGAAGGATGGCAACCTGATTTTGGATGGAAAATCCTGTATGGAGAAGATGAGAGATAAGTATGGCCAAAACTGCAGGTGAAAGCCTCCTTTGAAAGCCTCCAATCTTTTGTACCTCTTTCTGTCTCTTTCTCTTCCCCTTCTTGTAACTCTGTTCTTGGCTTAAAAGCCTCCTTTGAAGAAAAACAAAAGGGTATATAAACCAACCCCCAAATCACAATAGGTAAGCTACCTGCAAGGAGAAACCAGAGAGCACAAAATGGCGGTACTTCTGGAGTCAACTGTTACTGGTTTTGGTGCGCTCTTCATCCCTCTGCCATTCATCCAATCTGTTACTGGATTTGGTTTCCTTTCTATTGGAACCTTTGACGACCCCGTAATGCAAACCTGGGCACATTCTTCGTCCTGCTCCGAACGGGATGTACTGGAAGTCATAACCTTTGTAGTCGAGACTTGTTGCATCCACGGCTTTCCCTCTTTTGTCAAACATCTCCCTCACCTCTTTTTGTGCTTCTGCCATCTTGTCCGGATTCCTCATCAGTTCAGACATGGCGCATTCGACGGTATAAGGGGAAGTGTCAGCTCCAGCCAAAAATACATCCTGCAATACGTGTGTATATATGTAAATATCAATGAGACTAAAAAAAATTAAATGTGTGGATTACATAGTGTATTCATTAACAATACGGACTGTAGGTATGCCCTAGTGTTAAACATATGTAGCACTCAATTTTCAACAATCTAAACTCTCGTATTTTTTAAATCCGGATAACCCAATTCATACAAACCTAAATTTTTTCTATCAATTAACCATTTATTGTGGTAAATGATTAAGACAAATACACAACCAAATTATAAATCCACTAGATAACATACATTAAGTCAACTCAAATAGAGCTGACAAATGAATTGGATCCAACTCGATTGGTATATTGGATTGGTGGTTCGATCCATTGATATAAATGACATTGAAGCCTTGGACCAATATGAAAATTTTGAAAGTTTAGGTACTAAAATGTCATAATGAAAATTTTTAGGTAACAAATCATAATTTTCAATGATATTTTTGGTAAATTTTAAGTACCAAAATGTAAAATATAAAAAAATACATGTACTAAACTGGAATTTAATTACCATTTGAATCCATGGATCAATCCATAAATTCACCGGTCCAATTAGATTTGGAATCAGTTCAATATTTTAGTGGATGCATTTATTGGATTCATAGATATAGATTACCTCTAATCCAAATGAAGCCCTGTATATCTTACCATGGATCAACCATACCTTGTTTTTCTTTATCACTAGTTTCCCGAATGAATCCTACCAATTAACTTCGCCACCTCTTCCTCCCTGCTGGGGCGGAGGGACCGGACCCTCCTCTCGCTCAGCAGCTCAACGGTGTAGATCTTTCTCATCCTGCGCCAGTAGTGGCGAACGCGATGTCTCGGGACTCGTAGAAGATGGTGTGGGGCGAGGGCATGTAAGATCGGGAGGCGAAGTTGTGGTCGTGGGTTTTAAGGAACTCTTTGGCGGATTCAGGGGACGATACGACGACGTTCGAGGTCTCGCCGAGCTGGAGGTGCACCACGGGGCCGTGTCGTCGGGCTAGGTCGGCTAGGCGAGTTGGTGGATGTTGCCGATGATGGGGAGGAAGGGGGAAGGCTTTGTTGTTTTTGGTGAAGATGGATAGGGTTGAGAAGAGGATGATGATGGAGATGGGGAGTAGGAGGAGGAGGAGGAGCAGTGTACTGTACTGTCACTTGTAACTTCTGCCATTTTCCTTTTTTTTGAAGGTTCTTTCTTTGTTCATTGAGTGCTTGCTTGTGTGGGTGTATATATAGTACCAAAGCGATCCGATCTGACTCGATCCAACTTATTTAACCGGATGATGACCCGAACCGGCTAATCCGTAAATTAATCGTAATCTGATGTAAAAAAGCTGCTTATCTATAAATTAAACGTTGTTAATGGAGAAGAAGGTAAAGAGATTGATTATGGTCGGGCCAAAAAGGGATTCGGTGAGGTCAAAGTGCAATCTAACTTCAACCGGAATTTTTGTTCGAACCATGATCGAAACGAAAGGTTGACCGTGACCGAATGTAAAGTTATTTTCTTTCGGCCTATGATCGAACCAAGCAGGCAGTCTTCTGTTTGGTCATTGTTCAATCGAAAATTATTTTCAGGTCCAACCAATTATTTTATTAATTTGAAATTTTTAAAATTTCTAGACTATGATTAAATGTATTCAATATTTAGGATTTAAGGGTGCTTATGGATATTTGATTTTTATTATAGTGTTTGTAGGGTGAAGGGAAGTTTAAATGTAAAGAAGAGTACGAATGTAACTTTAATATTTTTAGGACGACACTTGATTTTTAGGATAACGAATAGCCACAATTTTTAGGATTCAAAAAAATATTTTTAGTATTATGGTACAAAATAGCTCACATGTTTTGAGGGATTTATATTACATTAGTTTTGTTTGAAATGTAAAGGGTTAATGTGCCTAAACTTCATACTAATTGACTATATTGGTCTTGAGTTTTTTAAAATCCTCATCTTGCCTTTGGAAACTTAACGCAATCACACACCACTTTGACTTAATTTACCACCTTAGTGTTAGAGAGTGATATAAGATCCAGCATAACCTTCTCTCAACAACTTGAGTTATTGGGACCAACTGGTTTATGACATAGTATCAAAGCTGATTTGGCCAAGTGGTCGTGTGTTCGAATCTCCACGACCCCAATATTAACAGTAGATTAAATGCACAAAGTATGGTGGGTCTGTGCAAACTTCAAGCCCATGGGTTGGCTTTCGTTTGAGGGGGCATGTTAGTGAGTGATATAAGATCCAGCATAACCTTCGCCCAACAACTCGAGTTGTTGGGACCAACTAGTTTATGATAGTACTTGATATCTAAGATCCATGTATGGTACTTAATCACTTCCTATTCAAATGAAAGCTAACTCATGGACTAGAAATTTGCACATGTCTCTCCATACCAATGTGCTTTAAATACAACGATTAATATTGAAAGTCGTGAGAATTTGAACACTTGATCTCAAGAACAAACTAGTTCCGATACCACGTTATCTTTAGTGGTCAAAACCTTTCGCAGAAGTACCAAGTGGTCGTGTGTTCGAATCTCCACGACCCTAATATTAACAGTTGATTAAATGCACAAGGTATGGTGGGCCTGTGCAAACTTCAAGCTCATGGGTTGGCTTTCATTTGAGGGGGCTTGTTAGAGAGTGATATAAGATCCAACATAACTTTCTCCCAACAACTCGAATTATTGGGACCAGCTGGTTTATGATAGTACTTGATATCTAAGATCCATGTATGGTACTTAATCACTTCCTAACACGCCTCCATTCAAATGAAAGCTAACTCATGAACTAGAAATTTGCACATGTCTCTCCATACCAATGTGCTTTACAACGATTAATATTGAAAGTCGTGAGAATTTGAACACTTGATCTCAAGAACAAACTAGTTTCGATACCACGTCATCTTTAGCGGTCAAAACCTTTCGCAGAAGTGCCAATTGCTCATCTTGGCTGTAGTAGCTCAACTCTGCTCCTGAATCAGGTGGAGACAAGCTCGTTATAACCTTGAAACTGTAACCCTGATCGATCAGGAACTGCTGCCGTTTGGTTGAGTAATACATCTCCTGTGTATCTATAGATACAAGAGAGTAAAAAAAAAAAACGCATTGTACTCTTCTTTCCCTCCTGTCATCCTGTCTTCAGGTTTCCCTTTTGCCCTAAGAATCCGACCCAGCCGCTGAGCTTCTTGTCGTCTGAAACTGGCATGCGAGGAGATCTGAATGATCACATTGGCCTCAGGAACATCGATAGAACTATCACCAACTTTTGACAGAAAGATGGTGTTTACATCTTTGCTGGTCTTGACGGCCTGGAGAATGTCTGTTCTCTCAGTATGTCTTGTACCACCATGGATCATATGTTTGACTAGCTTCGTTGCATACTCAGCTAGAGCAAAAATGTTGTCAGCAAACACGATGATCTTATCGCGCCGTGCTGCTGTTCGTGAAACTGTATCAGAAACTCACGCTCTGAATTTGTTAGGGTTCATCACACACAATTTCCCCTGTGACGAATTCTCCCTCCTTAGATACTCCACAAAAGAATTCCTTCGTCATCGGGCACCATACTTCAGCACACTGGCAATGAACCCACCTCTCACAAGTGAGAAATAGTAGCGAAATTGAAAGACAAACACAATATTAATGTGGTATCCTTGATCGTAGATCGACCAAGACTAATCCACGGGAGATACAAAGCTCTCTAGCTGCAGCTCTTATTTAACTTAGTTAATTGGCTGTAGCCGATGATTAAACATACGATGACTTGATATATACACGTGTTTTTGTCCACCATTCTTATACCGTTTGAGTATTATTTCTCGTGTTTTAGGCCGATTTCACGCTAGGTTGTTCTTGTTTGTGATATTTCAAGTCCTAGTACATGAATGAAGGTTTGAGCACGAGTTCGGGGTCGATTGGACGAAGTTGGGATATCGGGCGAGAAGCTGAGGAAACCACACGGCCAGACTGACAGCCACAAGGCCGTATGGCGTGGCCGTGTGGAATCCCTTTGCGAGAGCAAACCACATTGGCCGTGTACCGGGTCCCTTGTGGCCGTGTGGAAATCACACAGTTGTCACACGGGCAGGTCGAGATTTCACACGGCCGTGTGGTTCTGGCCGTGTGTGTTGTGACGTGTATGAAACCACTTAAGTAAAACGCGGCGTTTTGGAGAGCCACAAGGGCAGCTGGGATTTCTACACGGTTGTGTGGCCTGGCCGTGCGGTCGGGAAATTTTGGGTTTTAACCCAATTTCGGGTCTTTTGAGAGAGAGATCGATTTTCAGAGCTAGAAATAGAGTCCTAGAGAGAGAAAGTGCGAAGAACAAACCCTAAGAGTGACTTTGGAGCTGGGTTTCATCCATCAAGCTTGGATTTCATCCTTGGAGTGAAGATCATCATCCCAGAGCAGATTCTTCCCATCTTGATGAGTATGACTGCTTTGTTTTCTGTTTCCCTCTCTCTCTCTCTCTCTCTCTATGGAGTAGAACCCTCTCTCACTTGGGTATGAAGAACCTTAGTTCCATGTGTTAGGGATATCGATTGTAATGAACTTTGGTTTGTGATACTGCTTGATTATAATCGATTGGAGTGTTTTGATTGAGTCAATTGAAGCCTGATAATCTTTTATTGATTTCTGCTGCAACCTGAGATAGATAGAATCTGATTAGGTTGTTAGAGCTTCTTCAATCGGTAGTAGTGAATCGATTATACGAGAGTTAGTCGATTCACTGCTTTGTACTGGAATCCAGTTCCAGTTTCTATCCCGGCAGACTACTAGTCTTCACTGGGATAGAAAGCCGAGGCTATAAACACAGAGCTCCACTTGAGCGACCTTGGGGGCTCGATCACGCCGCTGCCCATCACTATCTCGATCATGCCAAGGCCCGTCACGATCGCGATCACTAGGAGCACGATCACGCCGGCGCTATTGTGAATCCTTATCGCCACGCGAGTCACCGCGATCACACGGCGGGTACCCGATGAGTTGATAGCAGCTCACACGCAGGTGGCCAGGCTTTTGGCAATAAGTACAATGCTGCCCCCCTCGATCACTGGAAGGACGTTGCCCTTGCTCGCCGTTACTACGTGCAGCGAACACTGCTGCCTCACTGGAAGGTTTCCGACTCTGAGAAATAAGACATTGTTGTTCCTCATTGAGAGCGATATTAAATACCTCAGCAAGACTCGACGTGGGCCTCATGGAAAGCACCTGTGTGCGCACGCCTGAAAAATTATCATCCAATCCCATTAAGAAATCAAATAAGTGACAATTGTCTTGCTGCGCCTGCACACGATGAGAAACGTTGCAAACGCAGAGGCCGCAAGTGCAATGTGGAGGAGGAGAAATCACATTAGACTCTTCCCAAAAAGATCGCAATTTGGTATAGAAGGCTGAGACAGAGTGCTTCTCTTGTTGGAGCAAGCTGATAAACCGCCGTAACTCATAAGCGTGGGACGCACTACCTTACCCAAAACGATTGTGAAGGTCGAGCCAGATTTCACGAGCAGTTTCCACAAAACGGACACTACTCCAGATTTCTTTATCCATCGCCGTCTTCATCCAGCCTTTCACCATCTCATCACAGCAAACCCAAGCGCCCTGCTGTGACCCGCTGCTGGGCTTCGGAAGACTGCCATCAACAAAAGCAAACTTGTTTTTAGCGAGGAGGGCATCCTTCATATCCAGCGCCCATTCACCATAATTGGAGGAAGTCAAAACATCCCCCACCAACATCTGTCCGGGACTATCCGACAGAGGTAACTGATAAACGGGAAGGAGACCATCGCCGTCACCACCACCAGCAGTCTTATCCCCACTAGGACGAGTGGAACTCGCGATGGTAGACTCATCGTCGGCAACCATGATTGAAACAGAAGAAGAAGGATATTATTGTTGTGATACCAAGAGAAATAGCAGCGAAATTGAAAGATAAACACGATATTAACGTGGTATCCTTGATCTGAGATCGACCAAGACTAATCCACGGGAGAGGCAGAACTCTCCAGCTGCAGCTCTTCTTTATTTCACTTAGTTAATTGGTCGTAGCCGATGATTACACATACATATATAACCCTATTTGTCATAAGTAACTAGGGTTTCATTATGGGCTACTAAGGAATTCACGTATGCATGGGTTGAGTGGGCTCTTCTTCCAATGCCCGCATGCTGGCAAGTATGGGCCGCCAATTTCTCCATGTTCATTGTCAGACTGATCAATCATGGCTCGACCAATGACTTCATCTTCTAACAACTTCTCGAGCACCTCTGGATATGGAGACTCGATGAAGTATCTGTTCTTCTTGAGAACA